TACCTCCATGTATTCTCCTCGAGTTGTCCACCTTTACTAATAAAACACACTATCGATGTGCCTTCTACTTTCAGCAATCTCTATCTGGCTTTACCTCGATGTACTCTCCTTGAGCGCTGTTATCCGAGTCGTCCTCATATGACCCGCCATTCACCCCTGGTGGGGCCGTTCCGTATCGTACTGGCTTGTTACTTGTTTTGGCAGATGACGCTTCCCTTTCCAGTTTTCTTTTCTTGAATAGAGTCGGTATTTTCCTGCCACTTTTTCTTATCTCAGGCGTTGACTGACCAAATTCCTGGAGAGAATCACACCGAAGAAAAAAAGATCACGAACTTCAAACGCAAATTCTGATAACAAAGTACATGTATTCACCAGTATGAAGGGAGGGTTTTCAAAACCTTTGGTCGTGGACCCTATGTTTAGAAGTGAAATAATAAGGTAATAATAATTTCACAACACGGCAACCAATAGCTGTTTCAAAAAAAAATCATGATCTCTGTAGTAATCGTTATTTCTCCCAGAGAATTGTCTTCCACTTCATCGTTCATTATCATTCTATCGAAAACTTATGGCCTCTAAGGCCAGGTTTGACGACACAAAGATGCACTTCCCTCGTAACGAGCTTTTCGGTTTTTTGGCGTGTTTCTTCCATTGAAGTTTATTATTACACCAATATAACGCAAGCTGTTAAAGATCTCGTGAAATCGTGTGATTTGATGCTTGGCCTTGAAAGAAATAAAGGATGCACACATGCCTCATGCAGAAATATGACCGATTCTTAATTGGAATCTTTCCCTTCAGTACAGTGACATGGTGCCTAATAACAGGACCACAAAAAAAAAGGGAAAGGTCTACTTAGAAAAAAGCCATGCATTAATGCATCCAAGCTGTATTGATCAAGATCATTTCAAGTTTTTTTAAGGCGAACAACTAACCCCAGTTGGTGATGACCCGGGGGGAGATAGATCTGCGAACTTTGGAGGCTGTGATTTACCAAGTTTGTCAAGTGCAGCTGCAATCTGGGTACACGTTTTCTGAAATCATAAAATGAAAAAGTTTAAAAAAACAAGCATTCCTTTTTCATCCATCATTAATCATTATTTTGCCCAAACAAAAATTATCAACCTTCCTCCTTGGCAAGATTTGATCTTTTAGAGTGGCAGTTACGATGAAATCACTATTTCCCTGAAAGGAGGTGTCTCGCCAAAAAGGCAACAGACACAGTCATGCAATTACAGTCAAGACCAAAGTTAATAGTCATTGGAATGACGTTGCCCCTAAATAGAGGTGAGCAAAAAGGGAAGTTCTACAGAATAATCTTAAGAGACTAAGCCATTTAAAAAAATCTGCACAAACCATACTTGTAAAAGAATAAAAATAAATTTAGACGTTCCCACAATTAAAACAAAAAAAAAGATTAGAAAATAACTCATCTTTCCTCCTCTTACCTACAATCTGAAGTAAATGATTAAGAAAAAACTATATACCTGAAGTTTAGCCTGACTGCATTTGATGTCTTCTACGTTCCAGTTTAAAACAGACACTGTCTGTTCTTTCTGCATGATGCTGGAATGGAATCAATACATATTTTCCTATGGCATGGTTGGCAATTTTTAAGTCCAGTAATTTACAACACAACAAGTAAGGATCTTTAATTTCATGTTCCAAAGCCAAGATTGCTTTAAATCATAAATCACAGGGTAAATTCCACCAGCATAGTCACATATTATGATTTGTCAGTAGCTAGAGGATGAATTATTTGGGAAATTAGGCAGATGATCCATTAAACACTTACAGATCGTGATATTTTTATTGAGTCCAACAAACAACTTGTCATTTGATTACCAAGTTTATATTTTTACAGAGTCCAACAAACAACTTGTCATTCAATTACCACGTTTGTATTTTTAAAATTCTCTCTGAAAGCTCAGGGAAGTACCTAAGCATTGATCACAGCTGTAGACAAAAAAAGAATGCAAGCATATCAAACACCATTTGAAGTAGAAGGTTAGAAAATAATTCCAAACATTTCAGCACTGTACCTTAGGTTCTCTCCGCCTCCACTCTTATTAGTCTGGAGTTCATTGGATTCCCTTTCCAATTCTGATTTCTGAAATTATACAGTAAAAATGACTCCATCATCCCTTACACTCTAAATGTATACATGTAAATATCAACACTCTGCACTTTCCATCCTTCATCACAAAATTTTGCTCAGAGAATTTATTATTTAACCAAACACCATTCCTTAGTTGTTATGTTTCGTTCTACTTGTCGCTTTTTGCTTTAAAATGTAATTACAGTGCTTTAAGAAGAAAATATTTTTTGGTCAGCTGGGAGTGAAAGATTGATTTTCAGTTAGCCTTATAACTCCCAGATCACACTGTCAACAGTACGATTTTTAAAAAGTTGGTTCAGAGAATTTAGTATTGGATCAACTAATTATCCCCAAACTGATACTTTTCTTTTTTCTCATCACTTATCTGGTTGATATTGTATTGATGTTGTGAGGAGAAATTCTGTCTTATTCACCCATGGAAGGTAAAAGGGTTAAGTAATAATCCAGTGATAACTAGCACATTTTTGGAAAGTCCTCTCCTTTCTTCAAATTACTATGGAATTTAACTTACATTTTGCAATTTATTGTACGCAGTGCACTGAGGACCATGGTTTTAAGTTACCTTAGATTCCAGTTGCTGATCCACATTTTCAAGATCTTTGCTAAGCAATGCTCTCCTAATGATGAAAAATTAGGTTATGAATATTCACTCATGCAATTCTTAAAATGGCTTCCTGTCTACACATTGTCAAATTGATGAGCAAATCAAAACAACTCTAGACACAGCTGTAAAACATTTGTGACAAAAATTGTTTTGTAGAGGGAATGACCTTCAACTTATAAAAAGACTCAAAGAGTATAGGTAATGAAAGGTAAAAACATGGTTTTTCAGAAACTTTATGGTATTGCTCTTAAATATTGAGTGCTTTTTTGAGGAAATATGCAATATTGTAAAGCCCAGCACCCATGCATCCTATCATACACTTAAAAATATCTTTTTTATAAATACAACTGCAATGTCAGAGCATTTTGTAAGTTTTCTTAAGAAATAGTGAGATTCTACCATGTCTTACATGTCATGTACAAGTATCTGTCATTTAAGTACACCTTTAGTCCTCTAACAAGTACAGTGCATATGGTCAGATACCAGACAAATACAGTATTTGAATGGGTGCTGAAAAAAACAGGAAATTGTCGAGGTGGCCATAAATAGATTTGTCAGACAAAGGATATTTGTCCATTGATAACTTACAGGTACATGATAGACAATACACAAATCAAAAAACTGCTTTGCATAATGCTAACTAGCCAGGAGACAGTACATATATATTGCTCTATTTGCTGCAATACAGCATGAGATGAGCTTTCCATTCTCTACCTAGGGAAAATCATTAGAGAGATATGCTGTGTCAGTCATTAAGTTGAGTTGATAGTTTATGGAAGCTGTGAATTCAGTCACAACTAATTTCAGAAGCTTTTTTTGGTTTTTGTAATCTCAAATATGCTTGATAGAAATGTTCAATTCTTAACTCACTTGTGTTGTAGCTTCTCGTAAGTCAAATCATTGACAACCAGTTCCTCTGCAGTAACCCCTGTTGATGTTAGTTCTAAAACATTTGGATCAAATAGGAATGGTATCACTGGTGAAGGGTCTTGTCTGAGGAAAAATGACACCAAAAAATCTTTTTTAAAAAAAGTCACCCTTCTATTGTACAGCCTTACTTAGGATTTTAAAACCACATTGTTTATGGGAAATGGCAATTGTCTTTAAAAATTTTGACTCTTCTTTTAGTCTTACTATACCTATATCTTACTGAAGAAGATGTCAAAATTAATCAAGCATAATTAAGCATCCCATAGTAATGTGAATTATAACATGACCAGTTGCTTGGTAACTTATAATTGTACCCAGTTCACTCCTTGGGTTGAGCTTTATTGTCAAGGATAAAACAAACAATGTGGCATCACTAAAACTTTATAATTGTATTTGTTTTATCTGTGATGTAACCCAGCAAGTACACATATAATAATATTGTGCTTGTAAACCAAGAATTTGCATTAGACAAATCTTTGAGAGTCACAAATGTGATACCTGAACTTGGTTATAAACGTAGAGTATTCCTGCTGCTTCCTCACTTCATTGACACTTGTTTGTATTACTCTGCTTGATGACAAAAACTCTTCACGACAGCAGTTTGTGAGATTAACCACATCTTGGAGAAGATCTTTCCTGGAATTGACAACAGTTAAATCAAATAATTGTTGAATATGGGAAATCCAGAATTGAGTTGGAATATGGCAACTTTGGGATTTCCTGAACAGATGTAACAGTGATCAAAAAAGTACCGTGCACTGCACATTAGCTTGCACTAGAAAACAGGAGAACAGGTTTTCTAAGCTCTCCTGTTATTGGGGTTGAGTAAAGTGTCTAACACATCTTGTACCTGTGCCCTTACTATGTACAAAGCACTCCAAACTGCCACCAATTTAGTTGCCATTATCAAACATTTTGGAAACCTGTGTACCACAATCATGTCAGAAGATATAAAGTTTAACAGTTTTTCTAGTCTGAAGTCAAAGTTAGACAACCAATCCATAAATATTGCTTTTTTAGGAGATTCATGCAGCCTCTCAAGGTACATAATCACACAAACAAGGAAAAAGAAGCAAAGTTTTATGAACAAAGTAAACGGCAACTTGAAAAGTATTTTATGATGATATTTACATGTATTTCACTTTGACTCCACTTAATGAACCAGAGTTAATAAAGAGGGTTCTGGATGAACTAACATCCTCCAGGAATAGAAAAGGTTATCCAAGTTACAAATAGGATAGGCTCTGGCAGCTAAAGATTTAAACTCTAACATGTAAAAGACTTTGCTAAAGGGAAAACATAAACCTCCTCCATGGGAAATGCTATTTAAACTCCCAGTGATCTCAATAAGAAAATAAAAATAAAATAAAAAATACTTAAAACAATATCCCTTGCTGCAATGTTGTGGGGATAAAATCTATGATCTAATTTTTTTTATCTTAAAATCATGAACATATTTTTTGTTCTTGTGTACACTGTGTTGGTGATGGTTTCCAATTAGAAATATAATTGACATGAAGAAACAGTGGCACCCTCTCAAAAGAAGTTAGTTCAGAACCTGTAAGATTCTGAAGCAACTTAGTCATGATCAGTCTTCAATTGACATGAAATCTGATCCTTTTATTTCAGATCTACTAAAAGGACTGAACAAATAAAATGGCTGGGTTACCCTACAGTACAACTGTTGAATCAGGCAGACTCTTACATTAAATAAATTTGCACACAGTTAGTGACAGAAAGGAAATAAATAAATACAGACTTATCTTGCTTACCATTCAGCGATGTATTCCTCTTGCAAATATTGAAGAGAATTTAACATGGTTGGTATAAGAATGTCATTGAAGAACCCTTGGTGACAGTTTCCTGATTTCAAAGCCAGTACATAGTCGTTATGGTTCTGATGTAGTTTAAGAGTTGTTTTCACATATCTATCCTTAGATCTTTCCCAATCTTTGCTGCTGAACTTATCTTTTGCAAGAACTTCCTCATATTTCCTCTTGCTGGATTCAGATTCTTTTGCATTTTCTTGGTATGTTTTCCTCAGTCTATCAATTTCATCTGATTCTTGTTTGAAAGCACTCTCAATTCTAAATCTTTCATTTCTGTACTTTTTCAGCAAATTTTTCTTGTCCTCAATGAGTTGTTCCAATCTTTTTAAAGTTGTAGAACTCAAGACATTGTTAAATTCTGTTATCAAATTTGCCTTTTTTTCACTCTCTGAGATAAATGTGCACCAGGCCTGAGAGGAAACAAATGTTGAGTTAAATCGAGTAAAATATTTTATACTTTGAAAGATATTACATTGTTGATAATCAAGAACAAAACACATCTTACATACATGCACAATGTACAAAATATTCCAGTAAGGGGGAAGCAGTGAACTAACATGGTAGTGTGTTGGACTCAGAGTATCTACATGGAAGAAGTTCAGGTTAAAGACCACGGAAAGTCATTGTGTTCGTGTAAAGTATAGACAAAATAATTTTCATTTGACCTGTGGATGAAAAACAAGAGAATTGATCCATCATGGACAACAATTAAAGCAATTACAGAAAGGAAACCTGAAAAAAATCAGGCTTCATCATGATTTGGACCCTTCCAGATACAAGCTGGGCACCACTAACAAATGAGCTATAAAAAACCTTATGTTAGAAGTGGAACAAATTTTAGAGGGTTCATCTTTTCTGTAAAGGAATATCATAAAAATTTTTATATGAAATTAATTTAATTTGACCTAACATTATGAAACTCAAGCAAAAATGTTCCTGCAGGTGCATGTGGAATCCTCCTTTTTTGCAAATACATAAATTGCAGGTAAGCCGCAAGGATAATTTGTTTGCTTCATTGTGCTGTGTTCTTCGGCAATACACTTTTAATGTCTGTCCACCAAGAGTATAAATGGTAACTAGCAAATTGACTTGGAAGCAGGAAGAAATACTGGAGAAGGGGAAAAAGTCTGTTCTTAAACCCACCCACCTGGTCACAAATACTACTAACATTGACTTTGGGAGAAAAACATGGATTACGTTTTACTCGAGAGATTGTTCTTGGATTCATTTCAGTGATTGCCCTTCAAATGACTGTTATTAAGGAGGAAAAATTGGGGGACTTTGAAAAAAAGGGTGATCACTAAAACATTGCCATTTAATACAGGTTTGAATGTAGTTCTTTCATTTTGAAGATAATATAAGTGACTCCCTTCAGGCTGTTAATCATTCTGCATTTTATGAAGGTTTTGCCACATACCAGCTTAGCTCCCAACAAGTTTGATGGGTAAGATAGCTATACCATTTCCACACTAGTTAGTGGTTGACAATATTGGCATTGTCAGATAAGCATTCCATGTCAAATTAAATTTTTGTTTTTATTAAGATTTTGTATGTATTACTCATAGTTTATAGCTGATGCAATTAAAACCAAAAACTACACACACTTACTGTGCAAGGCACAGTGTAAAACAAGAGCAAATATGTCCCTTGCTTTGTCTGAAAATGTTGCATAATGATGAATGTAACAATGTCGAGAGAGGCTTGTGGATTGTATTTCAGATTGCCATATTTATAAATATAATTTCCCTACATTCTTTCTGATACATTCTTTCCATCTTCAATGCCTTTTTATTCATCACCATCACAATGCATATTCATCACCATCACAATGCAATTACTTAACTGAGAAAATAGATTTTTCAAGATATCCTCTCCTTTAAAGGCATATGTATGTTGTGATCAAACTGAACATAATGAAACTAAGCTCCTTCCGAGTGTTCTATGGTGAAGCCATTCACAACTAAAACAGAAAACTGGAGAAGCATTTAATCTCAATGGTTTCATCATCCAAATGACACCATATACATTTGAAACCAAAATGTGTAGCAACAGGTGGTATAAAGAAGCAACCTGCTATGAATGGCAGCTGGGTTTTAAGTGACATCATTAATGAAAATATACATGTACATATATTAAGAGAATATATGCATGAGAATGATAGTTTCTTAGAAATAAAAAACCTATTTTCACAAAAAGGAAACAGTTGAAGATTCATTTTTTTAATTCATTGAATTTTCATAACATTCAACAAATTCAAATTGACAAACTAATCCATCTCTGTAAAGATTAAGCATCTAACCATGAACAATGTTAAATTTAATAAACAGCCTTTCACATTTGCTTTCATAAATATTCCATTTTCTGAATTTTCTTCATTTTCTAGCCATAACTCCCTCTGTTTATAATTAACTGTGTTTTAAAAGAGATATTGCTGCCCTTTTGTAGGAATAAATATTGCATTCAAAGTACCGACCGGCCTGAAATAGCATTCTGATAAATTCATGATTATTTTTATGTAAAATATACTCAGTGTAAATATTTAGAAGTATTTTCATTTCGACCATACATTCCGGAACGGTCAAAAAGCCATTTAGCTTCCAATCAACAACAGAGTTCAACCTACTTCATGTGTATCTACATAGAATAAATCAGTTGTTGACTTACCAACATTTGACCTGGATCAAAAGCAAATTGGGTGAACACATATTTACAAAGGAAAGGTGATGTTTATGTTGAAAGCAAAAACATGATATGAGACTTTGAACAGAGAAATGTAAGATTTTATGCCGGATAGAAAGTCTGAAGACAACTTTAAACGAGCTCGTGTTCTGAAAGAATTGTCCAAGTATATCGATAGCTTGCACCATCGAAACTAGCAAGATTTCAGATCGTTTCTTTGATAATAATTGAGCTTCCGATTCATATCACGGTGAGTAAGAACAAATGCGATCATATTATTTAGAAGCATACGTCGAATGTCTAACAAAACCAAAGACACAAACGAAACTAAATTAAAGAGACCCACCTTTCGGACCGGACTCTCTTTATCACTGTCGGTGATTACTTTCGAAGCAGTGGTGTTGATTCTAGTCAAAGCTAAAGCGTACTCTAGTTCCACTTTAGCTCTCTTATTTAGGTATTCTTTGACGTGCTCCAGATGTTTTAGTTCGCTCTCGATGTGATTCACAATGGCTTCGTGGCCACCTTTGAACGGCAAATCTACCGAAAATCGAAGATGCTGCCCCTCAACAGTCATGCCTTAAATTATGGCCCGAAACGCCCGAAAGATCTGTAGTATTTTGGATGAAAACAATCAGCGCATCCTGTTGTATAATTTCGACTGCAGTTTTTAAAGAGGAGGCTTCCGCCTTAGCCAAGACTGCAAAGAGTCACGGGATGTTCAGCAGCCGCGCCTTTGCTTCGGTTTCCATACATTTACAATCGTCTGTAAAATCGTAAGATATCACACCAACTCTTTAAAACAAATAAATAGTAATGACCATAATAAAATGATGATAATAGTAATGTAAAAAATCTGAAAGCTTCAAAATCATGCAATAGTTTAAAATCTAAATAAAAATTAGAACAGTAAATTACTCATAGTATTCACTAAATTAGATTCAAAACTATCCGACGGACGTTGTACTTATTATATCTTCGGGAAGGGAGCTCCATTCATTGATTGTTTGTGAGGAGAGAGAAATTAAAATTAATAAGAACACCTGTGTAGCTACAGGGACTAAAAACTTAAAAGGGTACTTCCCACGGGTTCTTCTTTCGCTGTTTGTTTCTATAGATGGGCTGGCATGGTACTTAAAAATCTTCTCATATGAGATTGTGGGAGAGTTAAAACGTGAAAGATAGTCTGGTGGTTTTCCTTCTAGTGGCTAGATCGATTCTTTGTCTGAATCTATTTACGATTTCTGCTAGATTTTTCACAACAATCTGTTCCCGTTTGCTTATACTTACATCTAAGTCGTCCGTGTTCGCTGAACTTAAATTGCCAAAAATAACTAGAATATGTATTGAGTGACACCCAGAGGCTTTAAATGTCAATCGTTTGATATAGCTACGAACGAGGAGTGTTCAATGCTCGTGAGTTTTAAGTGCTTTAAAGGGAAATTTCCCTTTTTGTTCAAAGCTACCTGCACCAAGGTCACTTAAAACGTTTCCTCGAATAGCAGGGTATAGAATTTTCAAAACACTTTTTTTGCGGAAAAGTAATTTGATGTCACTTCCCGAAACGATTAGAATTCATGTTCTCGGAAAATCCGACAGAGAAGTGCGAGTGTGGGGCCGTAGGGCATTTTTTCAGACCGGCTTAGGTCAACTCGTCCGCCCGAAATACGTCAGCTCTTTTTACAGTTATCCAAAGAATTACCCGCCCCGGATACATAGGCGTGAGTCTGTATCCTGACTTTCATTTTCTAGAACAATGTGAATATGTAATTTTGCTTGGCTACGACATTGCACGTAGCAGGTAATGTTATTTTGATGACATAAATGCCCAGGCTTAAGCTTTTAATTGTGGTGATTCTTTTTAAATACTGATATCCAGTCCATAAGGTGAACTTTGATTTGAGCAATTTTTCCTAAGATGTGAGTTTAACAAGGTATTGGGCGCCCTCCTCTTTTAATCAGTGTTTTCTTTTAGACCTGTTTCCTCCCCGTTGATCTGAATGGGTACATAGGTTTAAGTAGTTTTTTACATTTAGGCGCGTGAAGTTTAAATTCAAAATTAGGGGCGTCCACATGATGCACAAGGGGAGAACATGTTCGCCTTAACTTAAATAAAAAAGGTAAGCCCCTCTTATTCCTAAAAACGAAAATGCAATGTGGGCGTCTATATTAGGACACATTAACGGTACAAGCTCGCGACTGTTTGTCCAACCAGCCATTTTCTATTTAGAGTTAGAGTTAGGAAGGGGCAAACCCCTCCCCTCTCCTTCATTTTGACGGTCACTCACCCCTTCGGTTTCAAGATATTTCTCTCCCGAGCCTCTCGCCACCGTAAAAACAAAGATGGCGACTATAATTTTTCGCAAAAGAATACGGTGCAATCGCTTGCCAAAATTACACCTCAGATTGCTGGATACTCTACGTAATAATTGGTATCTGATGAGATTTTAGTCCTGTAAATCAAATTGGTACGTCACAATCACCCGTATGAGAGGTATTGGTCAAATTTTAAGAACGGTGCAAAGAAGTGAAATGTTAAGATTATGCCAAAGTTATTGCAATAAAAGTGTTGATCACCCTGTTTATCAGTCATTCACAATGGTCAGTAACAGCCAATTGTACAAAAATGTTTTATTTAAGGTTACTTGAGGACCTTCAAGGACGTCTTTCGGAAAATCGCTCAGACTACGTGCGTCGCTTATAATAAAACCTGGCAAAGTTTATATCAGCGCAAAGATGATAAACTTTGAAAAAAAATGTATTAAACCAATTAGAGAATGGGCTAACGTAATCAAGCACAAAGGTCACAATATAAATGAAAGTGGTTCTGCCAGATATTTCGAGAAACAAAGGAGTGGCCATGGGAAGTCGAGTATAACCCTGCGTTTACGTGGCGGAAAATCGTCGAACTTCCGCCAAAATCGTTTTGATTCAGGCGTAAAAACAACCTTTCACTTTAGAGTTCCTTCTAACAACACCGACTATCCCAGAAACCTTTGCACATAACACAAGGATCCGATTCCGCCACTCTGAAGGCATGCGAGTCATGCGAGCCATTGCAAAACACATTTCTTTTACGAAACTTTTTCAGATTTAAATATATGAAAAATATTTTATATAGTTTAGTATTGTTTTGCTGCTAGAAAATGCTTGCATAACAAATGTCACGTAACGGGACGTTCGATTTCGGCCGCCAATATATTTTGGAAACGCAAGAGCCTGGATCGAACGAACAAATTTTGACTTTCTCTCTCCTTCTGAGATGAATTTTCTCTCCCACAATCACTCGAAGCGTTCTTGGCTGGTTTTTGTGGAATCTACCCTTAACGATTTTTGTTGAGGGAATCGAGTATCGTTGCCGCTTGTTCTTCTTCGGGCTTACAGGATTTTGCCGCATTGTGCGGTATTGTTGATGCATAAATGTTCATTATAAAGCCTTTTTTCCATAATTTAGTGGTTCATTTTAGAAAGCTATCAGTACATTTGTGATCAGAGAAATTTGTAAAGCATAATAAAAATCGTTGGCACCCACGCGATGATTAAGTAAATATGATAAAATCAGGAGCCCATGATTGAAGTTATTGGCTCCTGATAAAATATAGTTTATATTCTCTTGTAAAATAGCAATGTTCTTTTAGTTACAAAGAAATCCCTCAAGTTTTTTTTTTATGGTAATATTAAGGACGTGTTGTCGCGTAGTGATACGATTGTTCAGTACAGTTGGCTTCATTGAATTAAAGTTAATTGTTTTAAAAGTTTGTCTTTTTAAGCCTCTCACGCTTCGATTTGCCTTAAAGAAATAGATAAGTCGATGCTGTCTTTCTTGAAATTTTTAATTCTGTTCTGCCGTCTCCTTCGCATTACAACGTAGCTGCCATGAGAAAGATAGAAAGAAAAATAATCGTCCCAATCCTTTCTAAAAGAAAGCCACATCAGTTTCTCTTGGCTTGTCAGGATCAACTATATCACAGGAAATGGTATAGACAAAACTGTCTATGGCCAGGACTACGCAACATGCCTCGCACGTCTCGCACCATGTTTCACATGCCACGCCCCCTCGCACACATTAATTACAAAAATACAAACTCATCATCGTCGCCCCAAAAAGCTTCCTCTTTCCCACTTCCTTCTTGTTCTCTTTGATTATATTTTACTGGCTCCTTAATTTCCCCTCCCTATTTTATCAGCCCCTCATCCTGAGAGTGTAGGCTCGATTTCCGAAGACTCCTGGAGTCGCTTTGATTCATTTCCGAACAGCGGTGGTTGTGGAGCCTTCTGAGAGATTTCTATTGGACCCCTCCTCCTTACTATTTAACAAGAGAAAATAATGGCCCCATTATTTCCTCTTTATTTTAACTTTAAGGGATTTTGCGACCAGAAAAATTCATGCTGCTATTTTCGTTAGAGCTGGGTGACTGTTCTAAAAGAACCAGTCAATTTTATGAGCATTTCGGCTGTTGATAAGTTTTTAGTCAGCCCTCCTAACTAGCGTTATAAGCCTCCCGGTTAGAAGCACTGGAAGTTTTTAAAACCCCTTGGGATTATAAAAGGATGAACCACCGTCGATCCGCTTTTAATTGATTTCGATGTGATAATACCAGCCTGTTATGACGATTTTTCAAACTTGATCTACTGACACCAGGACCCCAGTAATGGCTCCTCCTGACGCCTACTGAATACTTACTTCACTCACGCAGACTTGTGTCATAAACTATCCTTGAGTGTTTCACATACTGTATTTTATAACATTACAATATATACTAATTAAAAATAAATTTTCAAACACTGCTTACACTGTAACCCTAGGATTTAAAATACGTGTTTGTTATTGGCGGAAAATTTATATACATCACCGCAGCAATTAGCTAATTAATTTTAAGGAATGACAGATCATGCGAGACTTTTTGACCTGCTGACAATAAGGAAAATCTGTTCACTGTAAAAAAAATCACAATTTATGGAATGTTTTTAATTTCCTCCTCACTTAAATATTTACTTTCTATGACATTTATGAAAACATTGCTAAAATTGTCGGTCATGTTTTCATAACAGATCGTACGTAAGGGTAAACTGGCAATTAGCGATTATATCAGACTCGCAGTTCATACATATTTTGCGACTCGTCTTAGCAAGTATCTATATTCGACAGTCCAATATGATAACATAACATGACCATCGCCGTTATGCTATTTAATGATTCAGCAAAATTGAAGGCTTTAGGGAAGTGAAATTGACTTCAGACATTTGATCTCGTTATTTTGTTTAAGTGTAAGTTAATTATATTCGAGTGTTTGATGCAATATATGCCTCATGTGTATTCGGTAAATATTTATAAGGGACTTCGCAACGGCCTCAGCTATATGATCGATATTGCTCTTACATACTGAACATAGGAGCCACTTCAACGGATATCATTGACGGTCAGAACTTTTATAATGCATTAATAAATTGTGCTGGTGTTCATGATCCTGTCATAGTTGAGTAGATATATAACCGTTGCACTATGATACCTTCTATGAGTTCAAATATGGCGATTTTTTTAGCCCTTCCCCGTGTTCACACGAATTACAAGAACATAGCTTGCCATGAAGGGCTTGATCGTCCTTATCAGTCCGCAAATATCGACAACCTCGGAGTTCTTCGTAAGAAATCGGCGGATTCTTTGGATCCGAAAGTGATCGGTCCTTTAATAGAAA